AATTTTTTATTGCTGTCAATATTTTTTTTCTTTCTTTTAATATATTGCTCCAGGGGTAACTTTATCCCAGAAGCATGCACTGGTTACGCTGAAATGCAAATGCATACAAGCATGTGGTCGAGAAAGCGAAGAGCACGCAACCTAGTGTCATCCCGGAAAAATGGAGAACCTGCAAAAAATATAATATTATAAACAAACCCGATCCTGAGTCAAATTGCAATCCATGTTCACTTAGTATGTAACGAAACACTAATATTCCGGCTAAATGTACTGCAGAGATTATAGCAACAAAATATAATCAAGCATGACCAAACAAATTCTATACATGATTCTACATTAATTTTGGCTTTCCACGAAGAGCATTCAAGAAGATTTGGGAGTGATCGCCATGTATCAGGAAAAGAACAACCTGAATTCCTCATGCACTCTCACCTTTAATAATGATGGAGGATTCAGTAATGCCTTAGGGCTTTTACAAACGGTCATGCCATTACACACTAAGGATTTATCATTTTCTGCTGTTTTAGCTAAGAGGAAAGGGGCATTGCAGGCAATTCAAATAAATTTGCAACTTACACTTGTAGGTGAAATGTTTAATAAGAGCATAAAATTGGTAAGGCCTTGATGAACTCCCTACAACTCAATACATGATGTTCCACACTGCTAAATCTTCCAGTAATCTTCTTTCTTATCTTCTCTTACGTTATACTATTTCTTGTTGCAATGCATATAAACTACCCTGAAAATTATCGCGAGAGAGAGAGAGAGAGAGAGAGATGGGGTTCGTGACGCAAGGAGATCTTTATTTATTTAGACATAAATAAATAAATGAGATTAGTATTGTTTAGCTTCTATCTGTTAAAACTAAAAAAAGAGATTTAATTATTATTTACTTTTAATCAGTCGAATTTGGGAATTTAGTTACTAGGTTTATTATTTTTAAGTCCTTAACCATTTTGCAATGCCTATATACATAACGTTTCTAGTAATAGTTTTTGAGACTTCTGGCATATTGATGAATATTAATAGAGACTTGATTTTGCCATACTTTGCCTCAACTTATCCTTCTCTGTCTCTTCAAACATCTCCTGTGTATTCTATTTTTCTCTCTATTTTACATCGATTGGTTTGGAAGCAGAGGAATGTTTTCCCTATATGGAAAAGCTCCATTACAATAAGGTTCATGTATTTACCTGTAAAATCCATTGCTGTTGGCCTGAAAGCCTCATTTGTAGAGAGCATCCTTTGTAAGTCAGGAACTAACTCCGGAGGAATAGAGGAAAAGGCTTCACTAGATAAGTAACTTAACGTATTCATATACTGCAGAAGACAAATGTAGAATTAACAACATATACAGAATCATAGATCGAGCATGAGAATCACTTGCATGACCAATTTTTAGTGCACATGAAATTAAGGCGAAGTAGCAGCCAGAAGTTGGTGATGATCCTTGTTAAAGGAGATAAGCATATCATACAAGCTATTTTTGTGTTTTCTGGATATGAAAAAAACAACCAATTAAAACACCCACATTTATATGAAAGAGTGAACACTTCAAAACAAAATTACCATCTTGACATTGTTGTGGCAGTCAAGCAAAGGCTTGTGTGAAATCAAGTGGTAGGCAAGACATCCAAAGCTGAAAATATCAGAAGAACATCCAGTTGAAGATTCTTTGCTCCTAGCAAGTTCAGGAGCAGTGTAATTCAACGATGGCTGAAGGGGGAGTACAGAGTCCTCACCATCATACTCCTGTGCAACCCATATCAAATCAAATAATGATAGGTACATATGGCTCATGGGAAAAATATGTATTCATCTTCTTTTTTGCTGAATAACACATAAATTGATCTTCTCCATTGATATAATAAGCTTAAATAAATAAACCTGAAAAGTGAGTCAACATTTTCACAAGGAAACAGCATATGGCTCATAAAAGAAAAGGCCAAACTCTTAACTATTTGTAAAGAAATCCGGTGTGCAAGAAAGATCATTCAAAGTTGTTGCAAAAGCAACTGCATAGAAGTGAAACAAGGAAGAAAATGAAGACATTCATAGATTCATGAATGTGGGTACATGCAAAACGTAAATGATACAATGAATAAGAGATCAAGATCTACAAGCCAAGTGTATATTAATAATGTGCTGGAGAACAGAAATCAAGAATTCACTAGATTACCAAATATGGAGGGGGAATAGAATTCTATGTATAATAAGCTTATTTAAAAATCCTATCAACGACTTCACTCACAGCATAATGGAATGCCTGAACATTAGCCATATTGCCTGAGGCCTGATCTGTTGAGATTGCAAAACCAAATCCACCAAGCTTCCACGCTCCACTTGATGTAATAAAGACATTCTGCAGAAATATGATTTCGCATTAAATTGACATTCCATATGCCTTGGAGCTCAAACTTGAAGACAAGCACGATAAGTAATTGACCAGAAAAACATTTGTTGTATTCATTAAGGGAATTGATCAACAAATATCAGGCAATAAAATGAAAATATGGACTTTTCCTTAGTAAATATATCTTCAAACTAGCACGGACAACAAGGGCATATAGTCTTGTAAATATTCTACCCTCCAGATTAACAAAGGAGAAAACATCTCCAAGTGAGGTCAAATGTTGACAAATTTCACTTCTACATATTTTAAATATTGTGAAAACAAACAATTGTTACCTCAGGTGATATAGCCCGATGAATAAGACGCGCATTGTTATGGAGAAAGTCCAAGGATTCTGCTATCTGGAGCAAACCATGCTTCACCTCCAACAAACCCATTTCCTGGCAAGCAAAAATCCTTTTGAGCAAGCTATGATACCACAGGATGAACTCATAGTGCACGACAGATAGGAAATTGACTAAAAAAGTCCAGTTTCCATAGAAGAATATTTTCGACAATATACTTCCTTTGGACAGATGGAAAATACATTTACAAACCAGATGCAAATACAGCTATAAAATTTCACCACCAACAAATTAATCGATAATAGTACAAACATATATTTTCCAAACAACGATTCTGTTCTGGGTAAAAACTTGTCATGTCCTCATCTTGTAATTTTACTTTTACTGATTTCAATATAATAAGCCCAATGTTCTGAGTATATGCATATTAAACATCAATGTGAAGCTATGCAAACAAATTTATCAAGTTGGAGAATCAGTTCTATTAAAATATGCATATTAAACAAATTTATCTATTATTGGTGTGTTATCAGTTCTGCGGAAGCTGCAGTTTTCACAGCATACAGACAACTCTTGTTCTACAATTTCTTTTGTATAGGACCATTCAAATTGAAACGGGCATCTTATTAACACTAATCAGATGTATCATTCTCAAAACCACACAGCTACATTAGAATTCAAGTGGGTAACCTACTGATCCACATTAAAGAAATTAAATCCTAGCGAGCATTTCACCGATTTAAACTACCTTGCAATAATCAGAAGGCCCAGAATAATCCAAACATGCATTTATACATTACATTATCCAAACTCAAATCCGACATTCACAAAAAACAATTGAAGCCCACTAGAGCTACCTACCATTCCTTTAAGCTCCTTAGGCACCTTAGCCACATTCTCCACATTCCCAAGCGTATTGGCCACTGAGGCAAACAACGGCTCCGTGACCATTGCCATGGCATTCTTGTTCTCATCCAACGCCTGAACCACGTGCACAACACCGGGGTGCCTCAGCCTCACCAGCCTCGATGCATCGGCCCGAATGATCTCCAAAAACGCATCTTCCGCCGCCTTGGATAACCCGGCACGCACGCGGGCCTCCGACAAAGCCTTCTTATCCAAAACCCAGACGCAGACCGTGGGGTACTGGTGCGCCCGGTTGGACTCACGAGCAGCCTTGGCCGAGTACAGCTTCCAGACCAGACCCGGTCCGGCCGACCCGATCTGATCGAAGAGCTCGTAGTCCTGGAGAGGTTTGGGTCCGGCGACTTCCTGGACCGTGGTCTGTACGGTCTTCTCGATGACCGCAGCGGTCTTGGCCAGGGCTTGGGTTAGGGTTTTCATGTTGATAGACATGTTGGATGAAGGGGAAATTGCAATGTGTTTGAAATTGAACAAAAAACAGTGTTCGTGTTTGTGAATGTATAGGTGTATGTAATCTGTGGAATTGGGAATTGTAGGGTTTCTGGGTTGAAGACGAAGGAGGAGAAAGAGGAGGAAGTGGAGGGAATTGGAGCTTTCCTCAGACTCAGATCATCGCTCTGCTTTGGTCTTTCTTTCCACCCCTCTCTCTCTCTCTCTCTCTCTCTGCGTAGTTTCTTTCTTTCTTCCTCTAAATTTTTCGTCGATTATTTTGCTTTTTACTTATTTTATTTATGTTTTGGACAAGTTATCTGTGCGCAGCGTGCAGTTTGGTGCTGTCTTAATTAATTGTTCTTGGGCTTTGCCTTGAGTTTCATTCATTCGTTTAGGTGAGATGACTGAGTCCCACGTGGCAGCGACCTTTACAAGTTACTTACTCAGTGGGTGGGCCGGGCTTCGCTTTCCTTGCTCAAGTCCAGTTTGATTCCAATTAAATTACATTAATATCCAGAGCTTTCTAAATTCACTGAAAAATATTTGCTATAGGCAATAATAACAGAAGCACCAAAAAAATATTGAAACTGTTGACTGGTAGGACCAGCAGTCAACGCAAACCTTGACCCTAGAGGGGGTACAAGATAACTAGGATCAAATTGCGTGAGTTGGGTTGGAGATGTGGAAGAACACGGTACTTGTATTGATTTGAATCCTTGTTACAACTGGTTTGCCAATTATACAAGAATAGAGCTATTCTAAGTGAAAAGAAAGAGTCAGTCTCCTTCTCCCTTCTTTTGGTCTTCTATTTATAGGCAGGTGAAGCAGGTGGTTTGCATTGCCATTGCATGATCTAGGGAGGGAGGAGTAGCCCACTAGACTGAGCATGAAAAGTCTGGCAACCCGTCACATTTGAGCAAAGGCCTAAACTATAATGACTAAGCAGGTCAGATCATTGACACAGAGCATTCTTGCTCTTCATTGGATCCACAGACTCTCCCTTCACCACTGAAGGTGATGTGAAGAAATCCATCTTCATCCTTATTTTCCCCATCGATTGTAGACATCAAGGCATCTGTATCATTGAAAGATTATTACAACCACAACTAATTTGGGAACAAGTTATTATTATGGCTAAAACAAAAATGCGTTGCAGCTCACCAAATGGAGGTTCAGTGTTCTTGCAATATACAAATATACGTTTTTTTTCTGCTGACTCTGATACGCATCCGAATAAAAGAAACAAAATCTCGAAGAGGCATATCACCATACACTAGGAATCTGCAATCAGAAATGAACTTGGAGTTTGCCCTTTGAAGTAAATAAGTACATTTTCTTTCGGTATGCAATTCATATATACAGATGTATATCCACTGGATGCATATGAAGTGTTTAATGCGGTGAAATTCTTACTGGTATACAATTTGGATGTTTCTCCCTCAATTCCACAGCATCTAAAATACTGCGGTGTTTGTATATATTCATCCGATTCCTGAACATAAATCAAAAGCATAAATGAAAAGGGAACAAGCCTATTCCATTGTAGCAATACAAATCAAGATGACTAAAGCACGAGGGAATTGGGAACTAACTTCCTCACATGAAATTCTTACCTCCATGCTTCCGACCGATTGTCAGTCCTCAACATCGCAGCCTTTTCCACAATCACATGCATGTAGACTCAAATTAGAGCAGAGTGCATCCACTGAATGTGTAGGATGTAAGCACATTTGATTCAGTGAATTTCTTACCATATTCAAGAACCTCCTATTCCACGGGTCTAACAATCGAATGGATCACACATGGGAGAACTTTTTCCCTCTTTTTTTTGACGAATTTCTGAACACATATCAAATAATTACTTAATTACTTAATTAATTGTGAAATTATAATTTTGCCATCGGGAGTAGGGGTACTTTAGTCACTTTTCGATCTGTAAGGATTTTTGGGATTTGAGTAGTACCGTTGTGTAGAGCACGTCGTTATGAGTTCGTAGACACATAGTAGGCCCAAATCGAAATTTTAACGAAAAAGTTGTGGTCAATGGAAGTGTAGTGGCACAACAACAAAAATTTCGAAGTTGGACATTTTAAAGAACCGGTTTGTTCTCTCTCTTCCTCACGCAATTTTTCTTCTTTCTCTCTCCTCCGCCCGATGGTCTCTCTCTCTCTACCTCTCATAGCTAGATTTTCTGACAGTGGCCACCAAATTCGATGAAATCACTTCCAAAATTTTCCTCTCCTTCTCCTCTACACAACCCACCTAATTTCTAGGTTTTTTTTTTTGTGTGTGCATGGTTTAGTGACTGTAATGAGGAGAAATTTTGGGATTTTTCCGACGCCGGCCACGGTGTTTCCGGCAACCAAAACAGTCGAGTGAGATATGTTTTTTCATCATCCCAGTGTGTTCTTGATGTTTTGATAGTTGGTTTGGATCGATTTGAAGCTGTGAATGTCCGATTAGAAATCCAAATTTTGTCCAACTTTGGCAGTTTTTTGGGGCCCTCGGCCAAATTAGATGTTGGCCTAATTGAATAAGTTGCGCCCCTAGTTGTCCTAATCACGTAGGTATAGGTACTGTTGGGTGCTTTGAGAAATTTGTGTGGCCGAAAATTTACGTATTCAAGTTCGATATGTTTCGACAGTTGGATCAGCTCCAATTCCAAATATGTTGTTCCTTGTGTTTATAGGATTGTATAGAAACCGGTTGATCGAGAATCGGAGTCCCGGATACTCCGAATCAACGGTTCTAAGTAGGCAAAACGATTGTCGCCCGTTGTGCGATTGGCTTAAATCCGACCGCTCGATTGAGACCAAATCTTCGGAACTTGATAAGTATACATTATTAGACCTATAGGAACCTTTGGATCGGAAATCAGAGGGAGTTTCGAAGGAGAAATCAAAGGCGAATACGATGATTACCAAAGAGAAACCAGTGAAGACGAAGATAGGAGACGAAGGAGTTTCGAAGGAGAAATCACAATTCGGTGGCTGATAGCAAAAATCGAGATTAGAGAAATATAGTAGTTCCAAAAAAGGAGAAGAATGAGAGGAACAAGTTCTTACCTAAGCTGTGTCGTCGTCGTCATCGGTAAAGGAGCAGCAAGGGAGTGTGGAGCTGTGTTGTCGGTGTCGCTGTCCTGTCTCTATATGTGCATTGCATTTCGTATCAAAGAGAAAGATGAAGAGAAGAGATAGAGAGAGAAATTAAATACAGTAATTGGTCTAGTTCGGTCTGGTCCGATGATATGAGTTGTGAAACTGGTTTAGTTCTGTTTGGTTGCAATTTGTTGACTTTTTAGTCAACTTGGTTTTTGACGATTTTTTCCCAATTGGTTCGGCTCAATTTTCCAGTTTTGCGGTCTCGAACCCCACCCATAGTGAATAGTATTTGCCCTAGCAATATTTTTGTTGTTTTTCCACCCATTGTCATGGTAACCCAAGGAAAATTACTATTCGCATGAGATAAATTTTATTTATATGTATAAGATTAATAATAATAAAAATTGCTAGGCAAGTATAAAAAAAATTCTGAAGTTTTTCGAATTTTTTTATAAAAAAAAATTTGTCACTGACGTCAACGCCCTTAAAATGTTCTTGCCTTTGGGCTTGCCCAGACTTGGTGGAGCCCACCAACTGCCCGAGCTGGATTCAATCGATGGAGTGGGTTTTGCTAGCCTGGGGGGCCTTTTGTCCTGGCAAGTCCAATCGTTGGACTTGCTCTAAGAGTTTGTACTTGCAGTTAGAGTTGGATGAGGAATAGGCTAGTGGTTGGCATATCCGTATGAACGTATTTTCTAAAAAATACTTCTATTTTTCATACACGTTTAAAAGACTCGGTAAAATATACATTTTTTAAAAATCAAATGTACAACATACGAATTATACACTTAAATAGAAAATTTCAATAATACATAGAAAATTCATATATTATACACGTATTTACAAAATTTCAATGATACGTAAAAAATTCATATATTATACACTTATTTTTAATATATTATTAAATAAAAATAAAATATATTTATAGCAACAAAGTTTACAATTACAATTGGCTAGGAAGAACCCAACACCAGAGCCAAAGTCTTACTAGTCTTTATAGCAACAAACTTCACAAATTACAATTGGATTGGAACAACCGTTGCCATTGAGAATAAAAATTACATTTGGCTATAAGATTTGGCACGACACCAATTATGACATTGGGTCTCTTGCTTGAGGAGACCATAGGGAGGCACCCCTCCTAGGTGCAATAGAGGTCATCAACATAGGCCATGGGCCTTCTTGATCGCCCATAGACCCTGTCTAGGTAAATACGTTTCCAGATGCTCATCCTTTTATATTTATACGTGCCCACCTCAACCCTCCAATCTTTACTTGGGCGATGCGGGACAAGTACATGCATATTGGTTTTACTAATTGTGTTTGTATTGCAAAGTAAGTTCCCTGGTTTCACTAATGGTCATTTGAAAGTTGCACTTGATTGCGAGACAAATTCTAAAAGGAGCAGATTGTCTAACAGAGTAGTTGATTCGCTTATCTTCTGATTCAAACAACGTATTTTATTGTTTGAAATATATAAGATCTACAGCTTGAAGGGTATTTATTACAAATTATATAATGGCCGAATTTTTCATTTGTGTTTTTCAATATCTTTCTATTTATACTTTTTCCATTCCGTATTCTACTAACTAAAAATATTTTAAAATGTTTTAGGTTAGTTTGGTTTAAATTGGATCATACTTCTCTTCAAAGTGTATGTTTTGCCAGTATCTTCTATGGTCCATGAGGAGAGACCCCCCGACATGCTTACGAGGACAAAATTAAAAAGGCCATGATTTTGGGCCACCACGGGAACAGAAAGTCGAAATAAAATATGTCGGGAACAAAATTGAACTAGCTTTGTTGGGGTGCGCCAGGCCCATGCTGTAGTGCAACGCTTGGGCGACACGCGAGAGCCCCAGTAGCAAGCTACTGTGGTGGACCCTCCCCCTAAAGAAATTAATTTAATATCGTGTGGGCCATTGGCCCACGTATCAGATATTAAACTGATAAGAACAGATACTACACTTGATCTTAGCCAAAAGGCCGAGAAAGGTATGAGTTAAACATCTGCGTGCTTCGCATCTTGTAAGCCATTCTGCTTCGCTGATTTGCTCTCTACTTCGATGTGGGACAAAATAAGGCAAGGATAATTGATGCATTCTCTCATCCCTTTCGTCCTCTTGTGCGTGAAAGCAAATTCAACGCATCATTCATTTGGGTCAAATTCCTAATTTGTATTTGATTACTTTATTGGATGGTCTGGAGAAGAAGTTTGACAACAAATAAAATAAAATTGATATCACTTGAAAAAAAATATAAACATATGACAAGGACAATAGTGGAGGTGGCAATAATATATACTTCGACGTTGATGGATGGAAGCAACAGCCACAATTAGAGCGACAGTTTTAGTGACTGGTGATAGAAATGATGGTGGTGATGGTGGAGGGAAATCACGTTGCCTATTAAAATGTCGGTAGGGTGTTATTACTGAGTTTGACTGGTTATTTTATATATATATATATATTTATATATATACACACACACAAGCGATACTAGAAAGTGGGGAACGAACTTAGGATTTCATGTGCATAGTAAATATTTTGAACAACTTAAATTACAAGTCTCTTGCTTCTATAATTTCTTTTTATCCTAACTTCATATGGAAATTATTGAAACTTGATTGACAAGATAAATAAATTTCATCAAGACATAAAAAATGAAAACCATAACCCCCTCTCTCAAAGAAAACACTCTACAAACGTTTTCACTTTGAGAGGGGAGGAAGCCATTATCCTAACTTCAAATGAAAATGATTGAAACTTTGCTGACGAGATATCTAAATTTCATCAAGACATAAAAGATGAAAACTCTAGCCCCCTCTCTCCAAGAAATCACTCTACAAACGTTTTCACTTTGAGGGGCCCTCTCCCTTTCTCCCTTTCTACCTTCTCCCATTTTCCCCCATTTTCAAAGACAGAATGTTTCCTCTATTTGTCTTCATTTTGTAATGATTTCGTCTCAGCGTCAGATCTCTACCACCATTCTTTTTGCAGTTTCTTCATGTTTAGAATAAGTCAAAGAGATTCTTCGGGATTTCTGTGTAGTTTTCACCTCTCCTTTTGTGAGAGTTTTTCACCTTCCTTTGTGAGAGTTTTCCACATTTCATTTATGAGAGTTTTCCACATTTCATTTATGAAAGTTTTATTTGTATTGTTATGGTTTGGTTTTTTCAAGCCTTATCTATTTTTGGTTGTTTTGAGTTTGCACTCTTTGTTGTGATGTTTATGCTAGAGTTTCTTCGATTCTACATGATCTTTAGTGGATGAGCCATGTATTGTCATTATTTTGATATTAGATAACTCTGTTATTGTAATGACCCATTGTGGCTAGTTTGTATTGGCCCTTTGTGTTTAATGATTTTTTGGTGGAATTAAAAATTAATCCCAAATCCAATTTCCACAAAAAAAAAAAAAAAAAAAAAAAAAAAAAAAAATAAATAAATCTTTCATTTAATTTCAAATTCATCCACTCCAAAATGTTAAAAACTAAATGTGAACCATGCATTATTTTACGTCCAGCACACCAAACATCACATGCCATTTCTTCTTAAATGTTGCTTGTGAACAAGTTGGCTAAGAATACCACGCAAGTGAATTGTGGCCTATAACAAGTTTTGAGAAATTGTAGTACCTATGCCACCACAAGTCACGTACATAAAATTGGTGGTCCACATACCTACTCACAATTAATTTTCTGATAATTTCTATCAATAATAGTGTTAAGTCAATTGCACGCATAGACGATTTTTTTTCCGTCCGAAATCGGTAAGTTTTATTAATAGGAAGCCAAAACACTTACAATGTTATTCAGAATTTTAAATTTAGACTCACTCTGTCCAAATAGACCCATTTCATACCAAGTTCTTCAAAGCCAATGTCTCTTAGAAGATTTTACTCATTCATTAGTTCTTGGTCGTAATCCTCATTCATTAGTTGGGTGTTGTAGAAAAGTAGTACAATCTACACATGGATCTGGATCCAGAGTTCAGCCGACAGGCTTGACCAACTTTGTCTCAACCTTCTCTAACTCCCATCCTCTTACTTTACTCAATTGCAGATAAGATTGAACTTTTGGGAAAGTGCTTCTTTCATTGCTTTTTTGCTTCAAGTTTGGTCAAATTTAATTGAGTCAAACTCAAACCTATCCCACATGTCCTATAAAAATGCCCATTGCCTTTTACTTGACTCTCAGTTACTCCAAACCCATTTTGCCAAATTTGGAACTTCTTTCTCAGAAACCCAAAAACATGAACATGAAGAAGCTCTCCTTCCTCTTGCTTGCTATCCTCACCCTCCGGTGCCTCAAGCCCATCTCAGCAGCCTGCCACGTGGACGACGAAGCGGGTCTACTTGCCTTCAAATCGGGCATCACAGCTGACCCATCCAACAAGCTCAGCTCATGGAAACCGGGTACGGACTGCTGCACATGGGCGGGCATAAACTGCTTAAACAATCGGGTCACAAGCCTCTCTCTCGGGGGTCAACCCGACCAACCCAACACCTTCTTATCGGGTAAAATCTCACCCTCCCTCGCAAAACTCAAGTTCTTAGACGGCATCTATCTCCAAAACCTCAACCTCTCGGGTCCATTCCCGGATCTCCTATTCGGGCTACCCAACCTCCAATACGTCTACATCGAACACAACAGGCTCTCGGGTCGAATACCTGATAAGATCGGCAACTTGACCCAGCTCGGTGCACTCAGTTTTTATTACAACCGGTTCACCGGTCCAATCCCGAGCTCAATCTCCAAGTTGACTCGGTTGACGCAGCTCAACCTGGGCGGCAACCTCTTTACCGGCTTGATACCGTACGGCATTAAAAACCTCAAGAGCCTCACCCTGTTCAATCTCGAGCAAAACGGTTTGTCTGGTCCCATACCCGATTTTTTCAGCTCATTTTCGGAGCTCCGAATTCTCAGACTTTCCCGGAACAAATTTTCCGGGAAAATCCCAGCTTCAATTTCAGCTTTGGCGCCAAAACTGGCTTACCTTGAGCTCGGTCACAATGCCCTGACGGGTCAAATTCCAGATTTCCTTGGAAATTTCAAGGCCCTTGACACCCTTGATCTCTCATACAATGGCTTCTCGGGAATTGTGCCCCAGAGATTTGTGAATTTGACCAAGATTTTTAACCTTGATCTTTCTCATAATTATCTCACCGACCCATTTCCACAATTGAAGGTGAAGGGCATCGAGTCCCTCGATTTGTCTTACAACAGCTTCCATTTGAATCAAATTCCCAAATGGGTTACTTCATCGCCAATCATTTACTCTCTGAAGCTTGCGAAGTGTGGGATTAAGTTGAAATTGGAGGACTGGAAGCCTGCAGAGACGTATTTCTATGATTTCATAGATTTATCCGAGAACGAAATTACGGGCAGTCCGATTGGGTTGCTTAACAAGACTGATTTCTTGGTGGGTTTTTCGGCTTCTGGAAATAAGTTGAAGTTCAATCTGGAGAGCTTGAGGATTGTGAAGACGTTGAAGCAATTGGACTTGTCCAGGAATTTGGTTTTTGGGAAAGTGCCCAGTGGAGTTTCAGGCCTTGACAGATTGAATGTGAGCCACAACCATCTGTGTGGACCACTTCCAGCCACCAAGTTTGCTGCTTCAGCGTTTTTGGGGAACGATTGTCTTTGTGGTGCTCCACTGGCACCATGTAAGTAAAGGAAGATTGCCTTGACTTGCCTTGCCTAGCGAGCACATAACAAGAAGCTTGAAGGAAATAAAGGGCAGGGAGAGAAGTTGGGAGAATAAACAGAGCAATGTCTCTCCTTATCTTGTATGTCAATGTAGAGTTAATCTTATTAGCAGTTGAAACAAAAGCAAAGGGAAAGGTAATGAAAAAACCAATGAACTTTGTTGTTGGAGGAGCCTGAACTCATGGACTGGGAGTATTATCTTATAACAATATTTTTAACATAACAAATTGGGATTCATATAATCTCATCATCTTCTTCTTCTTCATCTCTACCAGCCTATACAAAATGAGATATGCACACGATGCCATCCATTAGTATACAGCCGTATACAATGCTCACACAACCTCAGATCAATCAATATATATTCTGTGAGCATTCTTCATATCAATCAATACATTACATACATTCTTCCATACAACTGGGGAATTATGTATACAACGCTTCTCTGACAAATATCCGAAACACGAGACTTATACAAATATCATGTGCAGAATCACCATAAAGCTAATAACGCAGAGGATCACCAATAATCTCCACAAGAGCATATGCCGGCGGCAAAATGGTGGAACCGCTTAGAGTCTCGAATTATGATAGTTCGCTTCTCGATCAAGGATATGAGTTTTGCAGTGCTGTGACAGTCACCACAGATTCTAAGGTTCTTAGTAATAATTATTGGCATGCCAGCATTAGTCACCAGAAGCCCAAATGCAATGGCTAGTTTCTCACTGTGCTTACTGATCATATCTTCTTTCACTGCTTGTTCAACATCATGAAGAATAAACTCCGTTTTTGACACGAATCCAGCCTCCCGAATCTTTCCTATCACTTCTTCCAATTTGGTGTATATCTTCTCTAACTCTGGATGAGATCGATCACCCACGGCAAATCTATGAATTTTATTTCCATGTTCGATAAAACTGCATCCAGGGTTTCTGATGAGACCTTTCTCCTTCATCAAAGCCCTCACCTTTGAAGCATCTCTCCACAAACCAGCTGCAGAGTACATATTTGATAGCATGATATAGTTTCTGGAATCTGATGGGTCCAAAGAAAATAATCTCTCTGCTACTTCCTTCCCAAGTTCAATGTTGCCATAAACCCTACAAGCACCGAAAAGGGCCCCCCAAACGGCAGAGTTTGGCTTCAACGGCATACGTTTAATCAGCTCATAAGCGTCATTCAGAAGCCCAGAGCGACCCAGGAGATCAACCATGCATGAATAGTGATCCAACCTAGGCTCAATTCCATAAACTTGAGACATAATGTCGAAGTAATTCTTTCCCTCCTTGACAAGCCCTGAATGGCTACAAGCACTTAGCAAATGAGTGAAAGTGACGTGATCAGGCTCCACACCCACCTTAACCATGCCTTCAAAGAGCTCCATTGCTTCTCTCCCATTCCCATGCACAGCATAGCCTGCAAGCATTGCAGTCCAAGCTACTTTGTCGGGATTATTTACCTCCTCGAAAACCTTCAGTGAATAATTTAATCTCCCCAACTTTGCATACAAATCTAGCAGTCCAGTTGCAACTGTGGCATTTGCATAGAGACCGCATTTCGTTATCAAACCATGGACACCCTCTGCTAGTTTCTGTAAACCTAGATTCTCACAAGCTTCAAGCAAGGACAGGACAGTGCCATCATCAGGATTAATTCCAGCCCTTCTCATGAGATTAAAATAACCCACTCCATCTGCTGCAGTCCCATTTTGAGCATGAGATGCAATCATTAAATTCCATGATACTATATTCCCTACAGGCATAGTCTCAACCAATCGACAAACTGCATCCAAATAGCCTGACTTTCCATACAAATTAATAAGAGAATTAACAAGCTTAACTTCCCACAGCATACCCAATTTCAGTGCAAAGCCATGAGTGTACTTTCCTTCATCAATAGCTCCCCTGCTAGCACAAGCAGAGGTTATAGATATAAGTGTAACCTCATTGGGTTCTATTCCCATTTCAATTTCATCCTGAAAAATGCATCCAAGCATTTATCTACATACCCTCTTCGCGAAAAGCCCGAAATTAAAGAATTCCAGGAGACCAAGTCCTTGTTGGGCATTTCATCGAACAAGTTGCGTGCATCATCTGCACGACCCAATCTAGTATAACAAGAAACAAGCTGATCTCCAATGAACCCATCAGTATAATTGAAAGATTTGATGACGCAGGAGTGAATTGCACGGCAATAGGAGATTGAAGAGCAGGAGCCTACAGCAGAAATTAGATATGAAAGAAGAATGTCTGGATTTGGATGTGAGGGAAATTGGACAGAGGACCGGGGAGAAAGAAGAGCATTGTGAAATCTTTTCTGGGTGAAAAGTTTGCAGAAACGTTGTGGGTTTTGAATTTGATGGAAGTAGAAGAAAGTTCTGGACTTGAAGAGAAAGCCGGGGAGAGACTGGAGAGAGGGTAACAGAGATGATGAACAAGAAGCTACTGTTATCATCTCCCATCATTCAATCTTTGTTTGCTTGGTGTATTTCTTGTATAGAGTTAAATTAGTGATGGTAGCTGTTGAACCATAAGGAAGGGAAATGGAAATGAGCAAGACGATGAACTTGTCTGGATTATGGCATTCTGCAAGATGGCACATGTTTTCTTTATATATATATTTTGGGGTACATTTTCATGATACAATTTTATTATACAACATGGATTGCGCAGGAGCCAATAAGCTGTCCCATTTCTTGGAGGCCAATTTTGAAGCCAATTCGTATCCTTATTATTATTATTTTAATTAATGGATACGGGTAGCATCTGCATGAAGTTATAGTTATGATTTCATCAACATATACAATAATAATACATGTCCACTAGATATGGAAATCTCACCTCAGACCTGTTCTGAGATTAAAACAAAAACAAGAAAAATAGATTGACTGAACAAAGAATAAATGAATTATCTTCCTCAAGGCTTGTATCGTACAATAAACGACTGCATGTGTATTGTCAACACCATTACACAACTCATCTTCCATCATTTCTCTGAGAAAACAGTAGTAGAATGATACATTATCTGCTCAATTTAACAGACTCGCGATACTACAAATGACAATTAAAAAACCGTTCCTATAACACAACAATGACAATCAACCCTTACATATGCAGTAAGCAACAATCAATCACTCTAACGGGTCAAACCGTAGCACCCTGGGATTTGTATCACCACAGCGGGCAGAGGTGACCAATCTGGAATGTACCGAAAAATCAACAAAGTTTCAAGTATGACTAAGGCTTGGTGGATCTAAACTCTGCAATAACTAGACCCCAAGTCAAGGTTGCATTTACAAATATATTACACAAGCTCAACACCTGTAGCTGGTAATGCGCTCATTTGCAATGTTCTACCATTTCCAACAAACCGTACAGATGGCAATGAAGGATCAGTAACGGATTCAATCTCAAGAAAACTGAAATCATATGCACCAGAACGCTTCAAACTGAACACGGAAACAAGCACAATCCATCCCAACATGGAAACTGCCCAGTAGTTGTTCATACCATGAATTAAACCCCAGGCAATAGCATACCCAACAACAATTCCAGATAAATGACCGATAAAACTTGCTTGAGGAACGATGATTGAAGTGAAAATAAGTGACTCAAATGGTGCAAAACTAATGGGAAGTGAAAGAAATCCAAAAAGATGCAACTTGGATGTGGGTTGCTTGACAGAAAGAATCGTCATCCAACCAAAAACAACACAAGAATACCCAACAGCGGTAACTCTCCGAAAATACTCAATCTTGAATTTTTGGATTAAGATATGGTACATCCCCAAGACTAGCACTCCGGATAGTACAACCCAAGACAAGTGTGTACTGCAGATAATATTCCATCCCGAGACCTATAGGCCCCAACTTTTCTACTACCCCAAGACTCCAAAGTGCACTCATATTGAAAACAAGATGAAGAATGCTGATATGAGAAAAAGCTGAAGTTATAATCCTCCAATGGTGCCCTGCAATGGCAGTTTCATAACTCAAGCCCACATGTGAATACCCAATGTTTTTCTTCTGTATGTAGAACCAAATTGCACTGCATATTCCTATGAAACAACTCGTGGCTGGTTTTTCCAAGATCTCGAAAACCAATGGCCTACCCATCTATAATATATTTCTTAAGGATGCTTCAAACTCAATTATATAATCTCAATACGACAATTTCCACAATAGTAATAAGCTGCTGAAGAATCAAGACCACTTTTGCAGTACCGAACATGACCAGATATTTAGAGCTCCCTCATAGTTTATAAATGAAAGGGCTTTCTCGAAACCCCAGAACTGTTTCAGAAACTACTCAGAGTTCACGAATTTAAGAATACCTGGATAAAAAATCTTCAATAAAACGTGAAGATTCACACAACCCACCATCCAAAATGTGCACAAGACAACAATCCAAGAAATGGGTGGGAACTTTGAGAATCAATCCAAAACCACTTCCTCGATGAATTTAATAAGTTGCATGAAACTTCATGCACAACAAGGAGAATCCTAGCTTCAGAGAAATATTAAATTTCATAAGCTTAGACCTTGAGGCAATGAAATTAGGTTCCTGAAAGATCAATGAATCAGAGTAATTGGGATTTTGCAGACATGGAACTTACTAGGAAAAGGATAAAAACAGTAAAGATGCGTCTGAAGGGCACCAGAGGCACAAAACAAAATTTTAAGATAAAAGAAAGACAGTAAAGCTGCATACATTCCAACCACATAGAACAATAAAAATCAATTCTTTATACAAGGAGAAAATTTATTATTAGTGAAAGTTTTTAAGAAAGGTGTAAATGAAATCAATGTCGACTAACAGATGGCTAAGAAGAATCTCAAATTAGGGATTTTTCTGGTCTGAAAGAGAGTAACTGAAATAAACCCAAATCAATACATCCATGGACTTGAACTTGTATAAAAACCCTAACCTATCCCAAATCAAGATACCTGAGTGAGGTGGAGTGGGGCAGGTGCTGTGTTGTAAAGAAGATCTGCGCGCGCTCTAGGAGGAAGCAGTGAAAATCAATGTCTGTCCGTAAAATGAGGCTGCTAATTTGATAGAGATGAGAAAGACAGAAGAAAGGAAATGGGGACTTGAGGAGGAAGTGACACAGACGATGATGGGCTAGAAGGTCTGTGAGTTTTCCAGGTCTCTTTTTTTAAAATTTTATTTTTTATTTTATTTTTTTTAAATGATCTTTTTTATTGAGAGTGACCCTAATATACTAAATGGTTATTTACTCAAATGGTCATCAAATTTATACCCGAGTTGTATTTTTATCTATCAACTAAATTATTCATTCAAATGGTTCATCAACTCTTTATCAATCGACACATTAGTCATACCGTTACATTTTGTCAATATTGTCATCAAATATAGGGGTAAAAAAGTCTAGTAACTAAAAATTAACAGAAAAAAAAACCTATCTCCTTCTCCCACTTCCTAGTTCCCAACCCGATAATCATTGCCCCAGCGCCTCATTTTCTCCTCCCCACAACGAGAGAGAGAGAGAGAGAGAGAGAGAGGCGGTTGCAGGTGCACGATGAGATGGGAGTGGGATTGGGTAGGCTAGTTTTTTTTAGGGTTACTTTTTGTGTTTTTTTATTCTTTGTGAGAGATGATACTTTTTGGGAACATGTTGAGGCAATATTAGATTTCGCAAAGTCAATTTATCTTGTGGTACAATTTGATGATGGTGATGGCCAAAAGATGGGTGAAATTTATGAAAGGATGAATAATATGCTTGGCAAAATAAAAGATATTACGGCAAGTGGAATATATGCCGAATATTTTCCCGAGGTTGAAGAAATTGTGCTTCATAGATGGGAAAAGATGAATATTCTCATGCATTGTCTTGCATTTGCCTTATGGTTTCATATGGCTACGAATTAAGCATGACAAATTTCAAGAAAGCCACTATTTTGATTTTTTTATTTTGCCAGAGTTATTACCCATATAAAGAATTTAATATTTTTACGTTTAATACTCTTATTATACATGTACATACGTATTTTTAATAATACATCTATTTTCTGTACACATCTTATAGACTCGGTAAAATACATGTTTTTTAAAAAGCAAACATACAATACTCGTATTGTTCACATACATACATATTTTTCATGTTTAATATACGTGTTTTTTACAAAATTTTCAATAATACACACAAAATTCACATATTATACACATAATTTTCACAAATTATTGAATTTAAATAATATATATTAACAAATTTAAATAAATTATATTAAAATATTATATAGTTGCCCAACTTTTTAGTTATAATTTGCCAAATTTTGCCGAATAAAATACATAGGTATTTTTTTCGCTCCGTATTTTACTAACTATTAAAGAATGTGAGAGGCAAATATTAATTTTTACTTGTTGTAACAAAAATGCAAGATGGTGATTTTGCAATCTATTTGCCAAACAAAACAACAATTTCAATCAAATATTTATGGGTATAGTAGTGAGAGAGGTGGTAATATTCTTTATATTAAGTGTTGTTTGAAAAGTGAAGTAATTACCAAGAACACTCCAACTCAGAATGCAATTCTCTATGACAAATAATGTGTGCAGTAACATAATTTAGTTTTGTTGGTTTCACAAGGCATTGTAAACATGTTTGAGTTGAAATTAGTCCCACATTGGAACACCTTAGAAATATAATAGTTTGGATTGGAAATGCAAGTGGCCCAATTGAGTGGCTTGTGGGTATGGCCTTTGGGTCAATGGTTAATTAATATATATTAATAAATTAATCAAAAGACAAGCCTAAACCATAAACCCTAGCTGCCTGGCTATACTCGGGTTTTTTTTTTATTTTTTAAAAAATAGTATAGTCGCGCGGCTTTACTACAATAATTATATATATATATAACAGTATAGACTCCCGAATATACTCATTTTGAAACGTGGGCACCTAATTGCTAGGCTGGTCTTTTTTTTTCCCTATAAATCGTATAGCCGTGCGGCTTTACCCGGGTATTTTTATAAAAAAATAGTATATTTGCTAGGCGGGTCCTTTTTTTTTCCCTATAAATCGTATAGCCGCACGGCTTTACCCGGATTTTTATTTTTATTTTTAAAAAAAAGTATATTCTTTATATATATATATATATTTACTAGAATCCTTTTTTAAAAAAAAATCCCCTGATTTTCTTTTATCGATAAGAGTAATTTAGAGCATTATCCATTATTGTTATGCCATTACCCGAATCTCTATTGTCCTCTTTAATTTATTTTTTTTATATTGCTAGAGTTATTACCCATATAAAGAATTTAGCATTTTCACGTTTAATATTCGTATTGTACAGGTACGTACATATTTTTAATAATACACCCGTTTTCTGTACACGTCTTGGGCTATGTGATTTAAATTAAACCTGATTACTTAATTAATTATTTAAATTATTTTTAAAATTCAAATATCATATAATATTTTTGTCTGATTGAATTTGTCCTTATCTGATACCTGTTGGAACATGTATGAGCTACTCTATTTAAACACAAGCCCTGGGTCTATAGAATTATATCAAATTCGCATAGAACATTCATATTATCATTCTTGGATAGCCTTATAGATTAACCCACAAAATTTCGCCAGAAATCAAAGCCCTAGTGCTAGGACTTTGATTTAGATAGTTGTATCCTAATGGAGCAAACGCCTCTAGAACTACAAGCATTAAGTAGAGGTGAAATTTTGTTTCAAGGACATTGCAATTTTGCAAGCCTCTATTTACAAGAACAATTAGTTTTTAATTTATTGTCATATTTAATTTCATTATTTAATTTATTGTTTAATTAAATTATTAGAATAATATTTATTATTGTTCCTCCAACAAGTTTCACTCGAGAGAACGAGTTAGATCAAAGGCACACATTCCCACAAAAAAATGAAGGAAAAAAAAATTGAACTCTCTGTGGGGGACTTTTTCTTCCTGCAACTAATGGGCTGGGCTGCTGCAAAAGGCAGACTGAGGAGATTGCCCCTTTTTGTTTAGGTTCGAAAATTAAGCCCCAAAATACCTCGAAAGGGCAGCAAAACCTTAGGAGATATTTTGGATAATCTTCACCAACGAGAATAATGGTGACTTGCATATAGTTTTGGCATGCTTATTGATGGTCTTTTTAGCTCAGCATGAGTGGCATGTGGCATGGGAGCAAAACCAACATGAGTTTAGCATTAAGAGAGGGATTAGGCTTGATTTATGAGAAAAGAAAGTGTTTAAGGAATTTGACTAGGGAAAGAGGAAAAAGAAAGGCAGAGTTCTTCTGGCAGCTGCCAGAAAAACAAATTGGAGAAGAAGATGAACAGTGCACGAGTTTGTTGAGTTTTTGCAAGTTAGAGAGAAAGCTTGCTCTCTGCAGGTTGTGGGTTGTCTCTGTTGGGTAGGGGAAGGCTCAATTTATAGCTGCTGGAAATCACCATTTTTCAAGAAACCCTAATGGCTTCTACTTATTTTGGCTAAGTTTTTCTTCCTTTCTCCTCCTTTTCTCTGACTTCCCTTTCTTGGCAAAGATTGCTTCTGTCTATTTACATGAATTCAGGGGATTTGGGGGCTCAACATCCTCCTTTCCCGCAGCTGTGCAGTGGGAGCTTCCACTCTTGGTTTGCTGTTTTTTCTTCTTTCCTTTCCTCTGTTTTAACCAAATCTGGCGAAGGAAAGGAAGTGAAGATGCATACTGGTCCAAGGGATGCTTCTGACAGCATGCGGGATAGTACTCATCGATTCTTTGGATGTCTCTGGCTTGGGACTTGTTTCCAGCAGCTTTGCTTAAGGAGTCTGCCAACCTCTCTTCACGTGTCCTCTGTTTTCTTCAAACAAAAGCTGAGGTTTTTGTGGACTATTTTAGGATTTTTATATGGGCCAAGGTGATTTTCTAAGCAAAGGGTTTTTATTAAACATTGGGCTTCTTAGTTTGGGCTTTATTTTGGTTGGATTGTTTTGCTTGGGTATTGGGCTATTTTTTTTCTCTTGTGCTTACCCATATGTTTGGGCCTAAGAAATGGGCTTAAGCCTCGAGGCTCCCAAGTAACCCGAGACTTTTCATTTTCCGGCCCATCAATGGGCCTCATGTTGATTTATTACCATCAACGCTACAACCCACTCAAGCAAGCCCCGGGTTTTTTGAGTGGCTTGGGCCCACCTAGGCTTGTAGCGTGGTTGGGTGTGAGATAACGGCATGGCATGTTGCTCGGCATATTTTAATTTATCGCCCTTGGGAAGGATTGTTTTAATTTTAGCATGAGTTAATCATATTTTTATCGCGAATCATAGCATGATAATTTATTTATTTAGCGCGGCATGTGGATTATAACTCGTATGTGATAGACCCTTTTTTTTCTTTTTCCTTATTGAATATTGTATTGGGCTGATAATTGCTCTGGCCCAATCCATGGATTTTTTGGGCCTCAACACTCTCAAATTTATTTACTGTGAAATTTCTCTATCTTCAATATCCATTTTGGATATATTGAAACTACCCAATTAATATCAATAAAGTATAAACTAATGCAACTAGGAGGGTACTTTTAAAAAAAAATAAAAAAAATTACAAGGTATAAAAGGTATAGCCGTGCGGCTATACTACGGTATTTCTTTTATAAAAAATAGTATCACATCGTGGCTATACTATTTTTGACACGGTGGTCCTTTTTATTTTTATTTTTGAATAATATTAGTCTTACCACATTTTTTATACTACAATTTTATACCACATGATGTGGCGACTGATGTGTACATACCACATCATGTAAAATACTAGTTTCTGTTTTTCTAATTTTATTTATTAAAATACACTTCATTCATTTAATTGATATGTTATATGATATGGACGTGCCACATCATATGGTATAGAAATGTGAGATAATAATGTGGTAAGTATAGCATTACTCTTTATTTTTTATTAAATAGTATAGCTCTGCGGCGTTACTACAATAATTTTTTTATTATAAAAAGATAGTATAGCCACTCGCCTATACGTGTTTTGAAACATGGGCACCTAATCTTCTTATAAATAGTATAGCCATGCGGCTATACTCGGGTTATTTTCAAAAAATAGTATAGCCGCAATGGTGTCGGAGACGACGACGGTCTTAGATGCGGATGAGTTTTTTGTTCATGTTTTTCATCTATGATATTATACTCTTCTTTTTAATTTTTTTTATAAAAAAAGTAGTTTTAATAACCAAAATAGTATTTTACTGCAATAAAAGTACAATGAAAGATGACATATTGATATTTAAACCATTTTCTTCTCCCTTAGATTATATCCAAGGGTAGGTAACCGCATTTTCCTTGGACAATAGAGTCCAAGAGAACGAGACTAAATTCTTGAAACCAGAAGCAATGCTCTTATTATATTGACACACCTACCCACCCAATCTCTAGTATGTTCTCCCTTAGAGCACTTCTACCCACTTACCATAGCAAAGAGAAATGGCAAGTAAATGTGGTCACTGTTCACTTAAATAGTATATGCCCTAGCAATTTTTTTGTGCTTTTTCACCCATTATTATGGTAGCTCTAGGGCAATTACTATCCATATTAGATTAATATTATTTATATGTATGAGATTAATAAATAAAAATTTGCTATGTATGTATAATTTTTTTTTGAATATTTTGGTAATTTTTCAGATTTTTTTTTCAATTTTTTTGCCTGACGTCAGCACCCTTCAGGCAGAATCTCGGGCTATCTAGCCTTGGCCCTTGCCTGGGCTGATTTTGGGCGACAGGGGCTTTTGCCTGGGCTGGGCTGTCCGCTGGATCTGCTCTTATGCCTATCCATTTATCACCCATCCCACCCCTTGGAATCTATTCGTCCAAAAAAATCCTCTCCGAACCCAATATCTTCCAAGACACAGAATCAAACGTGGGCTCATCAGCTATAGCACTCTCCCGATTGCTCGTCTGCTGTCGGCGGTCACGTACTGTTGTGTAGCAGCGACGTCATCTATCAGGTACTGTTCTCTCCTCTGGAACTGAGTCGTTAAATCTTTCGTTCCAGATCGATACCGTACCGCGATTGGGTACGCTCGATCCAGATTGAAATTCGTAGGGGAGGTGAGCGAATTAGTCAACTATGGATTTGATGGATTTGATTTTGGTGAGTGAAATCCAAATCCTTGTATTTGGGTGAGTTGTGCTCTATTGCCCTACAGTTTTGCTGAACTGTGAGCACCAATTTTTTATCTGTCGATCACCAACAGGTCGAGTGGGGTTCTTACGATTACTGACTTTGTGGTGATATTTGCATTTTGTAAGCATACAAGTTGGCTTTTTGCCCTGAGATTCTAGAAACTAGAAATTTATGAAGCATTTGGTGTCTTAAAATTGAAGATGTTATTGTTGCAGGCAACATGTTCCACAAGAACTAATTCATGTGGCAGGGTGTTCTGCAATGGACTGCATCCAAGAAGAGATTAAGACGGTAACTATGGACTCTACAACTAGGGGATCGAGGGTTCATCTGTTAAGATAAAGGTGATGTTCTTTGCCAGAGCTCGGGACCTTACTGGCATGAGTGAGATGCCATTGGAGGTGTCGACTGGCAGTAGTGCCGATGATTGTTTAAATAAGCTCATCGCCATGTTTCCCGGCCTGACAGAGCTCCGCGGGTGCATGGTTCTTGCTCTTAATGAGGAGTACACAACTGAGTCAGCAATTGTTAAAGACAAGGATGAATTGGCCATAATACCTCCGATCAGTGGTGGCTAAGGTTTATCTCCAATGCAGTGTAAACCTTGGATACTCATAGATAGTTGTTATGTTAGCTTTTGTTGAGCAACTGGAGACTGATAGAGCAGATGCATTTGCTAAAGCTGCAGTGGTGCAGAATGCTAATTCCATTCTTTTACTTGCCTCCACTATTTGTGAATATAGTTTTCCATTTCTACCCTGGGTGTAAAAATAAATGTTACACATTCCAGAGATTTGAAGATTCATGTTTTATGAATTTGAGTATGGCAGATAAATTGTGAATTTGATACAACTTGGAGATTTAAGATAGTTGTTGTGAGAGCCTCCCTATTATGGTACCCACGTGTGTGAGTGTTTCCCCCCTTCCCCCTTCGTAACTTCGACAAAACGATACTTGTTAGGAGGGCCTGATTTCAAAATCAAAACCAGATTTAAGATGGTTGTGAGGTGAGATGTAAACAAGGTTGTACATGATTTTTGTATAATTACCATTTGACCAATCAAAGAGGATCTAGAGCCTACTTATAATTTTCAGTTTCATATAAGCTAACCCAGATTGAATAAGATGAGGAAATCATAATGGTATTGCTGCCATAGAAATTAAGGTTTAATAGAGTAATAAATCGGTTAGGGAAATGTTTATAGAACTTGAGCGTTAGAAAAATATAAAGATTTTCCATATGCATTTAAAATGATTATTATCGATTATTTAAAAAGAGGACTATTATCACCCAGTTAGTAAGTATCCATAAATGAGATAATGTAACCTTTTTTTTCTTTCTTTGAAAGGACTATTCTTAAAGGACCATGTTTAATCTCTTATTTATTTATTTATTTATTTTTTATATAAATAAAAATAAAAATAAAAATACAAGCAATAGTCTAAGTTAGAAGGAGGAGGGGAGCTTCTCATACCCACACTACACTACCAAGGTGACATGGGGTTCGTACCTGAGATCATTGCTGCAAGTCAAGTTCTTTTTCCACTCGGTTAGACCTCGTCGTTGGCTTAAAGAAGTTATTTTTAACTAGAGATTATGTATTCTATCAATTTTCTTTTGATAATTTAGTAAGCATTTTATTATCTCATAAATCCAAATTTATATAGAACCACTAACATTATGATTTCTTATATATGAAACTGAAATAGAATTTAACTGGTCCATTTTGGAAGCCAAATAAAGGTTCCACAATTAGTTGGGAGTTAAACCGCATAGTAGAGTAGGGGAATATTTACATTAATACAATTGAAAGATACACCAAATATACCTACCAATAGTCATGTAGTCACAAATTAGGTATTTTATTTTTCTAGCAAGGAAACATAATCACACATGCATATATATTATGCTATACAATTTTATTTTCATCTCATTTCACAACTCTCCTATTACCAGCCTCAAGAATTTTTGATAACCCAACTTCAACATGGCAGAGAGAAATACTAATTCCGGCAAAGAAATTGTGTTGAAAGTACTAATGCATTGTGAAGGATGCCAAAGTAAGGTTTCCAATTGCCTGAGAGGTTTAGAAGGTAAGATTTTCCTTCATTTTATACTGAGACTGAGAGCCTGCATATATAATTTTTGGAGTTTTTAAGATTGATTTGATTGATTAGGTGTTGAAGAGGTTGTAGTTGATTATCCAAATCATAAAGTGACTGTAAAGGGAAAAAAGGCAGACCCGTTAAGGTTTTGGAGAGAGTACAAAAGAAGTGTAGTAGAAATGCTGAGCTCATATCTCCAAAACCAAAACCAGAAAACAGAGACAAGAAGGAGCCAGAAAAGAAAGAATCGGTATGCTTAACAATTGACTTTCCCAATTTTATATATCATCACGTCAATTGTTGTTGTCTTCTTAGGTGTTTTTGGTCTTGTAATCAATGTAGGCTCAGCCTCAGGTGAAAGTTGTGGTGCTCAAAATGTTGTTGCATTGCCAAGGCTGTGCAAATGATGTTAAGAAATACTTGGAGAGAATGAAAGGTAAAAATCTCTCTCTCTCTCTCTCTCTCTCTCTCTCTCTGTTGTTCTCTTTTCAATTTGTATATGAACAAGAATGGATTTTCATTTCTTTTCAATTTGTATACATCAGGTGTTCTAAATGTAGAAGCAAATATGGCGAGCTCAAGGGTGACAGTGAGGGGAGTAGTTGATCCCCCAAAGCTGATAGAATACATCAAGAAAAAATTAGGGAAGCATTCTGAGATTGTGAAGCAAGAACAAGGTGGAGGAGGGGATAAAGGGCAAGGCAAAGACAATAAGAAAGGCCCAGAAGCAGGGGGATATATATTCCAATACCCTCCTCAATATTCAACTCAACATATTTACCCTAATCAAGCATTTAGTGATGATAACCCTTTTGCATGTTCCATAATGTAAACAAACTTTTAAGCTTGTAATTTCTTCCTCCTTCCATGGTGATGATGCACCTAATCTGTGCCCATGGTTTCAGTTTCGGTTTGTCTTCAGGCTGTCCGCAAATTTCTTGTGTAAAAATAAAATAAAATATATTTTTTGGTGGTATTGGTACAAAGAATTAAGAGCAATTACTCTTACACTCTTGTCATGAGTTCGGATTCCCCCTCCCCTAATATCACTTGTATTTAAATAAATAAATAAAAGAAAGTCTTGAGCATATGAGTTGAAACATATCAACTTATGGTGGCTCTATCTCCCCAAAATTTCATGAGAACTTAGTAGACAATGATGTTCAATGGACTAATAATTCCTGCATCTTCACAATATCCCCAATAGGCTCACTTGTAAGGTTTAAAGTAACACCGTATATAAACAAATAAAACCCTGCCAAATTAGTTAGTGTACAAAATCTTGGGAAAAGGTCTGGTGGATGCACATTGCTGGGCAGCTAATATCATATAACAAACACATTGTGATTTTGCATTTCCAACGGCGGGCATGAAAAATACACTGGACATGTAGATAAAACGAGAAAGCATACTAGACAACAGGAAAAGAGAAGTAAAAATTTGTACCCGAACGGAAATTTTTGTCTGCATTTTACAGAGTGATGCAAAAGATTCTAAATTTCAAAGTTATAATACATAACAGACACAATCGTTTTGATACAAAGCGTGGCATAAGAACATTAGTACTTTTAGCACAGTTCATGGACAAAGTACTTTCTTTTTCTATGTACTTCACAACAAGAATTTTCTATCTCAGGCCCATTACAGGCCACGGATTTACCCCAGATGCCGGCAGCGAGGGTCGTATTATAGGAACGCGCCTCACCACTGAAAATGCTTCATTGAGACGCACAGCGCGACTCATGAACTGAGACACCTTCTGCAAAATTTGTTCAGTTAGATATGCCAGGTTCTACCTCAACATATACATCAAAACAGAGAAGCAAAGTTCCCATTTGTAAAGCCACATAACTCATATAACAAAGTACAAGTAAATAAAATCCTACCATAAAAGCCTTTTGCTTACAACTAACATAGGTTCCACCATTTTCCCACCCCAACCTAATATGGGTAGAGCTAGATAGAGCTCATGCCCCAGCACAAAATAATTTGAAAAATAAGCAAAAGCAAACCATTTCATGAGACTTATTATCACAGTATCATGGATTTCTACGCTCTTTTACTCCAATGTAAATTCAACAAGAACATAAGGAAAACAAATTAACTCTACAGGCTACAAGGCCAAAACAGGAAATATCCACTAGTACTTTGCAAAGGCGTTATAAATCTCATGCAACATATAATCAACTACTCTGACTACCTTACTTGTGATCACTGATAATGCTGAAAAAATATTCACTCAGTATAAATTCCAGGAACTCCAGGGAAAATTTTTACCAAATGAATATGCCCTTTCTTGCGAAAGGAAATAAACAAGGTCCAAAAAACCTTATCTGTCCATTATGGTTTATTCTATTGCAACTATCTTCAGATCCATGGTTTCTTGAAATTATGAAACAGGAAAACAAATAACCATTAAAAGGTAACATGTGACCCTTAGCTAATTTGAAAGTATAGAATATAATTGATAAACTTCGTTGACAGTATTTTGTTTTAAGTTTTACTTTTTCACCCAGAGCTTTCTTAACTGGCCTATATTAAGCAAGCCCTTTACATGTTCATCTAAAGCCATTAGTTGTTCACTCAGTCCATACATGTTCAAAAAATTGAATTACATTGATTACTCTCTAAGCCCAAAGTTTCTTTCCACTTCAATACAGCCAGGAAAATAAAGAATCGGTTTAAATAAAATTTCAAAATTGATATAGGTAAGTGTCTAGAAATAGGTTTTGTCCCCTCATAGACATGTACCTATCTCAGCTAATCGTAAGTGAAGATTCCAAAACAAACAAAACTGCAGATAAATAAGCATTCTCTCAAAAGGGGAGAGCATAAGAGTAGTGGATAGAGGTTCAAGCCAATGGGTTTAATTCAAATGAGTTCATAGTGGCTTCTGCAGAGGTCCTTGGAAAGTCATCTTGCAGGGTATTGGTTCTTTTCTTCTAATCTATGTTTTATTGTGGGGAATGGAACAGGGATTTAGTTTTTGGAGGACAAGAACTTCTCACCTTCTACTAATGCTTCCATTGCAAGTATCTGAATGTTGAAGTCTGTGTAACTTTCACTACTTGTTCAATTCTATTGTAACTTTCACTTTTTTATAATAATAAATATCCTCTGTTTCTTATCCCAAAAAAAAAACGAAATTTCAAGAAAGGAAAAATGTAATACTTGTAACCAAACACAATAGCATAATCCCAAATAATTTTAACAATATTGCAGAATACAATAAATTAACAGAGCAAGGTGTATAAAACCAAATCTCTACATTCCTTTGCACTAGAAAATGTCAAACACAAACCAAACAGTGTAAGAAAAAAGTACTCCCAAATGATTCTTATGATTTTTATCTATAAGAAAAGTAATAAAGATTGAAAAGTGCAACTTTAGACACTTAAAATAAATAAGAAACACAAATGAATGAACAAATGCAAAAGTTTCTTCGGACCAAAAGATAACTTTAGCCATTTCAAATAAGTAAGAAACTCGAACAAATGAACAAATGCAAAAGCTTTCTTCACACCAAAAGAAAACTGAAGTACAAAAAAGCCTTATAATATACACTAATTAGTCCTACTTTCACACCCTGAATGCAGTCATATTTTAGCTTTCCCATAACACGCAGTGAAGACTAATGATCATTAACTTAGATAAAAGAAAATAATAAAAATTGCAATAACTGACCTTATCATCCAGAGTAACCTTGAGCTGCAAGGTCTGGCTCTTTCTCTTCATCTTATACAATCGCCGCCCCAAGATAACTAACCCCATCACTGCTGCGGCCACAGAAAAGGACCAAACAGGGCTTACCCTAAAAACACAATACTTCAAGACCTCAAATGGAACCTTCCACCACAAGATTGTCCTCTTCACCACCTCGGCACCCGATTTTGCCTCAGGTTTCACTTCAGGTGCGGCACTTTGACTCCCAACTGATTGTCCATCTTCTGGTTTCTTATCCATGTCATTTCCACCATCCAATCCACTAAAACCCATCTCACTTTCCTTCTCAACCCTTGTGTTTTCCCCAATTTCTTCAAAGCTCAGTTGGCCTTCCACATCCAACCCACTAAGTTTGCCCTCGTCAGACCCGAATTTTCCCAATTTCTCATCGGTATACTCCATTTCTACAATCCCTCCAAAACCAACTTGGCTTTTGTCATTACCCGCAAAACCCAATTCGTTTTTCACCTCAAGATAATTGCTTTTACGGTCATCGGACCGATCACTGCCCGAATCGGACCAGAACCCACCCGGTTCTTTTGCCCCGTAGCGAGTCACCGGACCCGGGTCAATCCAGCTCGGGTTGTCGGACTCAACCGAACCCTCTTCGCTGACATCAGCCACATCCTTAGCATACCCATACTTGCCCTGATTATCCAAAGAGAAGTAATCAGGCCTGATCATACCCTCGGCGTCAACATCAATTCCTTCGAAGTTACTAGGGCTTTCAACCGAGTCATCTGAGTTGACCAGGGGAGGGTCCGAGTCGTGGAGCATCTCCCAGTCACCGATATCTCCCCCTTCCATGGTTGGGATCGATTGATGGGTTTCGGAATTGGAGGGTGAGAGCTCAGCACAAAACAGAGAACGGTTTTATTGGTAAAGACACGAAAATAAAGGAACCGTTTTTGTTGATGGCTCCTGTTTTGTAATGAAAGCCACCTGTATTTCCCAAAACCACTCTGTATTTGATAATCTCTGCAGAGTGTTATGGGTGACGAGGCCTCTACCCTAGCTCAAACTGGGCCACCTGTGGTGCTGAAGAATGGGGATAACATAAAAGATAAAGGTCGCAAGAGGTCAAGTTTGTAAATTTATGTACTTGTGGGACTTTTGTCAAATGGGCTTGTGCCACGTCATTAGTTAAAGTGAGATGAGTAGTGGAGGAATTTTGAGCCAGCCGGGGGGGGGGGGGGGGGGGGGGGGGGGGTGGAAGGAAAACAAGCATTGATGAGAATTTTGAGATGTCCTTTTCTTGACGGGGGGAGGGAGAATTTGAGGTTGGAAGAAAGGAAGGGGTACGCAACAAGACAACCCAACACACGGAGTTTGAAATGAAGAGAATGCTGTCTGCAGACCAGTTGAGGATGGGCTTTGCTAAACTCACGGCGCCTGTTGGAAAGTTTCTGTCAAACTTGTGAATATGATGATTCTGTGGCAGTTAGTCACTCGCAGTCTCGCATCACATAATAAATAAATAAATAAATAAATAAATAAATAAATTGATACTTTTATTCTTTTACTTTAATTTGGGCGAGATTAATGGATCCGCCGACTTGTTTGATGGATGGGGTGAGCCGTGTGGGCGGTTGGGATTTGGGTGGGAAAAAGGAGTCTTTCTTTCTCTTTTTCATATTTTCTGTCAAACCCATCCATGACAATGCCATTGCTGCCGACAGCCACATTATATTTATACAGATGGTAGGCAGCGAGCTGTACATCAAAGTTAATGTGCAGTTATTGAACCAGTCGACTACTCCAGCAACAACCCAATACGTTGAGGGAGAAGAGCTTGCTTTTCTCAATTTGCTCAAGGGACTCGGGAATTTAACACAGTAGTTGAAGGAGTTAACCGTAAATTTAACATAGTAGACTCGTGGTTCCATGAATTTATACATAAGATAAGTGTGTATGTACTTATTTCACTGCTCGCATTATCTTCTACACCCAACCCAACCCAACCTATTGTTGTTGTGGATTGACTTTGAGGAGGACTGCGCCTAACTTAATTGGGTGGTATTACTAGTATTAATGATGAGTGGATGAATCATTTCTTAAGACCAATTGAGTAGTTTAGCATGGGACATGTAGCTCAAGTGATTAAGAGCATTCACCTGTGCATTCGAAGTCATATGCAGATGTAGAAACACATGATACAATGTAACATTTGTGATTGGTTTTCAAATTTATAATCACAATAAACGCGAAAGATTCATATAATTATACAAGCAAAATATGTCATTGATGAGATTATCGCCCTTTTCTTAGTCTTCTGGATATTTCCTCTTACGTGGAGTTACTGTCTATTATGGACTTATGCCATTTTTTTTATTTATGATTATGGGTAACATTTTATTTTTCTAATTCATATCTTTGTATGGTTTAAGGCATTTCCTAATTGCTAGACTTAATTACTCTTAGTTAAACAATATAATATATATATGAATATTTTAAAAGTATAGACACGTAGTTATACTCTTTAAATATTTTTGAATATTTTAAAAGTATAGCCGAGCAGCCATACACATCACAACATTTGAAGTTAAAATGAAGGCACTAGCCCAATTTTTATTCCCATCCCTATGTATCCATAGCTCTGCGTTCTAGTTAGACATAGACGCATTCATGTATTAACCTAAAGCACCGATGGTGAGATAGTTGGGGTTGATTTTTGGTAACATGAATCATGATGCATCATAGCCAAATGTGGCCATAGTCATGAGAGAAAAATTATTATGTTGAAAGCATTTGGTCTAATAAGAGCCCATGGCATAGAATTTATCAGTATCCAGCCCCTTGTATTCCCTCATGCATGGTGGAGTGGTCAAAAAGGAGAAGAAAGAAAGAGAGAATAATTCAAAGATAAAGATGGTTTTGGTTGTAGTGTGGGCAACCCCAATTGCAAATCCTACTCCCTCTAACACCCATCGGCAATTTCTAAAAAAATTTGAACCCAAAAAAATAATTCCTAAATTACATATCCCATAAATAATGTACCTATCAAAACCACCACCAATCGAGAAATGATATATCTCCAACTAAACCCAAGTCCATTAAAATCCACCACCAATCGAGAAATGATATATCTCCCTTCCTTCAATCCAACAAAGCCATGTACAACCTCCATTTGACACCAAGCCAATTAACCCATCACCCCGGCAACAACTGATGACACTCCCACAACCTCACCCAAACCATACCCACCATCCATGAGATAGCTTACGCCCCTCATTCTATTTCATAACCTCAATTTTGGGCATGAAAAAAAATATCGAAAAAAAAACATTTGAATATTTCATCATGGGGAAAGAGGGGTTGGGACTGGGTGGGATGGTGAGGGTGAGGAAGGCTTGGTGGTGGTTGTGGGTTGTGTGTGTCCAGTCAGTGTTGGGTTGGAGAGGTTGTGTCGGAAGAAGGTTTTTTGGTTTTTATTTTATTTTTTGAGTGATATGAATATTTAGAGGGTGGAAATTAAAAATAATGCAAAAAATATCATTTTACCCCTGCATTTAAAATAAAAGATAACAAAATTGACGGCAAGACCATTTGTCCTAACGAAAGTGCAGATGAAGGACCATGGGAATCATTTTGAAAATTGAAGAACCAAAATGCAAATAAGGTTAAATTTCAGGGACCATTAGAGCATGTCCACCCCAAAAGGCTAAGGCTAAGGCAAAGGCAAGGCAAGGGCTGCTACTATTCACGTGAATAGTGGCAGCCTTGTCTTTTTTGGTTCCACCCCCAAAAGGCTAGGGTAAGGGCAAGAAAAAAAAAGAATATGCAACAAAATATGTACTTGTTATGTATTTATAGGGAAAACATCCATAATTTTTTGGTTTTTTTTTTAATTTTTAAAATTGCCATTTTTTTGAATTTTTTTTGACTCACTGACGTCAGCGCCCTAGGGTTGAAGCCCAGGCAAGATCTGCCCTTGGGCTTGCCCGGGCTGTAGGTGCTGCGCTGGAGGTCCAAAACCTAGGGAATGGGCCTCTCGCCTTGGCTAAAGTCACAGTGGTGGAGATGCTCTTAGACTTAGAGCATCTATAACAATGGGCTCCCTAAACCACCTCATTAAACAAAATTTAGAGAGGATTTGGAAAAATACAACTCCAACCATGCTACCTATCCACCTCCTAAAATAAGAAGACCTCTAGGAGCTCTTACATTTGAGGAGAGAGAAAGAACTCTCCCTATAATTTAATGCTGCTTTATTTAATGAGTATTTCAAACCTTTGGTTAATGTTTATTATTTTTATATTATTTTTTAATAGAGATGAACCAATTACTAAAGAATTATAGCATTTATGACTCCTTAAACTAGAGAACATGATTGGAGTTTAAATTTTATAGAGAGCTCCTAAAATAACATTTATATGGTTTTAGCTAAAATTTAACTAAAAAATAGAAAACATGATTGCGGATGCTCTTAAAACCCTAGAATCCACACACATAGAGATCAAAATAACTCATAACTTGAACGAAACTTTGTCAAAATACTCATCATAGGATTCGCTTGTTTCGTGAACCCAAACATTACAATACCAGAATTACATGTGAGATGAATCTGAAATCAATGTGTATAATACCTGTTTTGAGCGCCTTAACATGCCCCAGAAAGGCACATGTAAACAAAGAAAAATGAAAGATAAGGGAATCTGGCTTGAGATTTGTTCTTCTTTTCTTTGCCTCCACAAAATATATTATTATCATGAACTCAACCGTTTTTGAAGTTCTTGCACAATTCTACTTCTTGGAATTATGCTTTCCTCAGCAGCCTCAATATCCTTTAATCTCACAACCCCTTCGTTCAGCTCCCGTTCACCTACGATTATCATCCAAGGGATCCTAGATTCCTTGGCTCGATCAAAGTGCTTTGACACTCTTTTATTGACCAAGTATTCTGCTTTCACTTTTGCAGCCCACAGCTCACTTGCTAACTCAGCTGCTTGCGTTAAATCATCCCCCAATACACTCACTAGGACTTCAGTCTTGGTTGCTCGGGTTGTCTGTATAATAATAATAATAAATAAAATATGAAAGAACAGATCAATGTCTCATACAATACAAGCATGCTAAAATAAATAAACGTGTATGTGCTACACTAGGGCAAGGAAAAATTTGCCATGCACCAAGAGCAAGTCTAACCGTATGGCTATACATAAGTGGCTCTCCAAATAAGTATTGAAAATTTTTCTTGACATTATTATACCTCTTAAATCTCACATGTAGCTAGCCATTAAGTTATGTGGTTTGAGAAATTAATATACAAAATTAATAATACAATTAAATAACAGGCTTCAATGTTTTTCCCAAAAAAGAAAAAAAAATCTTCAATTTTCTATATTTTACAGTTACGTTGGAGCTAATGCAAGCCACAAATATAGATACCTAGCAACAGATGACAAATAGAATATACCTGATAACAGATGAAAAATAAAATAAGGAATGAAGAAATTATCCTCTAGTATGTAGTCATGTGCAAGTCACATGATTACTCTTGTTAAATTCATTAAGAGAAGTTCTGATTTAGATCAACTAACCCATATTCAGTTACCAAAATGAAGCAATTTAAAGTTTAAGGACTAAACTGAGATACAGATAAAAGTACAGGAGCATAGTGTAAATTAACCTAAAAAATGTATAACTAATGAATTTAAAATTCATAAAAGTATCTTTTATTAGTTACCCAGTTGGGAGAACATGGATTTGAAGAGCTATCACTACCATTCGGAATATAACCCAACAATACAATTGACCTAAAATATAGTAGACTATTAATCAACATACACACAGAAGCACGTCAAAGT